TTCTTCTTCTTCTTTTTTTTTGCTGAGGAAGACTGGCCCTGGGCTAACATCTGTGCCCATCTTCCTCCACTTTATATGGGACGCCGCCACAGCATGGCTTGCCAAGCAGTGCGTTGGTGAGCGCCTGGGATCCGAACCGGCAAACCCTGGGCCGCCACAGTGGAGTGCGCGCACTTAACCGCTTGCGCCACAGGGCCGGCCCAGCCATGGCTTCTTTAGGAGCTAGCCAGGAGTTGTTTACATGATGCAAAGCCTTCCCAGCAGCAGGAGAGGACAAGCCCTCAGGCACAAGCAAGTCCCATTGGTCACAGGAAGTCACACGGCGGAGCCCAGATACAAAGGGTACAGATTGGACTTGTGCTGAGTGGGACCACAGGGTGCCAGCCAGAGTCTGACCCAGCCCACCTCTCTGAAGGAGACTGACTTTTTTTTGTGTGTGTGAGGAAGATCAGCCCTGAGCTAACATCCATGCCAATCCTCCTCTTTTTGCTGAGGAAGACTGGCCCTGAGCTAAAATCCGTGCCAATCTTCCTCCACTTTATGTGCGACGCCGCCACAGCATGGCCTGACAAGCGATGTGTCGGTATGCGCCCGGGATCCCAACCCGGGCCGCCAGCAGCAGAGCATGTGGACTTAACCGCTACGCTACGGGGCTGGCCCCCAGACTGACTTTTGAGATGTGGCCGAGTGGGTCCTGTGTTATTCATGTTCCCCAGGTTAGAATCCTCTTTCCACTGTAGAACAGAGGTGGTGGGTAAAATGTCACTCAGGAATATAGATCCTGGGCTGATGAAATTAACCCGAATAAAGCATTCCTGTTTCTGCTTTTGTTTGTCTCTCTTTTTCTATGGCCTAAACTCAGTCCTATTTGTCTTTCACCTCCTCCTTGTATAGAGCATCTGTCACTCACTCCTCGTGGCTGCTGGTTGTTGTCCCTCCGAGAATTCTCAAAGGGCAGAGTGGCTTGATTCACAGGAGGAAGATGAAGTTAGGTGTGCGGCCTTGGGCCAGCGCCCTCCCCCACAGCCCGTTTCCTCATCTCTAGGATGTGGGGGTTGCATGGAATGTCTCTGAGGCCCTTGTGACCCTGCCCTGCTTACAGACAAGTGGTCAGGCTGGAGCAGGTGGTCCAATGCTCTGTCCCCTGGGCCTCAGGTCAGGCCCCGCTGCTTTGGGGAGAAGAATTCTCTGGGTAGGTGTAATAGATTGGTTGCAAAACTGGCCTCAATTTTTCGCACACATCCCCATCTATGCCCTTTGCAATGATATTTTGCAGCTCTTTCCATCAAGTAGAGTCTATTCTCTACCCCCTCACCCCCAATCTGCTTTGGCCAATAAAATGAGGTGGAAGTGATGGTGTGATGGTTTTGCGCCTCAGCCTTAAGGGGCGTTGACTCATTTGCTCCCTTTCTTGGAACAATGCCATGAGAACAAATCTAGGCTAGCCTGCTGGAGATGTCATCCCAGTTGAGGCCAACCTAGACCAGCCAGCACCTGGCCCACCCACCAGCCAGTGAGCCCAGCCTAGATCAGCCAAGACCCAGCCAACCTATAGATTTGTGAAAAGTCATAAATGATTGTTGTTTTCAGCCGCTGTATGTTGGGATGGTTTGTGGCAGCTGATAGAGTGGGTACTTGAGCTGTGTGTGTTCTGAATATAGAACAGGTCTCCTCCTCAGGCTGGGGCACGGGCTCCAGAGCTCAACCACTGGATTCCAATTCGGGTTCCACAGCTGCGTCCCTGGGGAGGGCGAGCCATCGAGGTTCTCAGGCTGGGCAGGGAGGAGCCAGAGCAGGTGGCTTTGGAAAGGAGGGAGCAGTGCAAGTCCCGGGGGAGCAGGTCCTTGCTGCCGGACCTGGACAGACATCGCGACACAATTCCAGCACAGAAATGCCTTTTTACGAAATTTAGTTTTATTTTTTAAATCAAAGTTATACCTGCACCTGAATTAAAGAATCAAATCTTTTAATATGACACTGTTATGAATGACAGCAGGCCTCTCTCTGCCCACTTCTCCCCATTTCCTGCTGCCCAGAGACAGGACTTTCAAGTTTTTTATTTTTTTTTAAGCAATATATAGTTTTTATCCTTCTAAATAGCATGCTCGTCTGGCTGCTTCTTCATTTGAGGCATTATCTGTTGACTTCCCACCGTGGAAGACTTACTCCTTGTCACCCACTTCCCTCCCCACACACCTGCACCTCCCCAGCTCCTTGTCCTCCCAGGATCCTTATGTAATGATTCCATCAATGTTCACTTTTTACTTGCCACTGTGACTTTGAAAATGCTCTTCACAATTGAACTGTGCAGAATAATACTCCAACTTGTACTTTCTTGCACAACTTTTCCTTGTGTGAGATTCCTAATGACTGCTCCATGCAAGCCCCAGGAGTAGAGTCAGGGTGGGTGGGAGAGGCATATTTTCAAACTCTTCACCCTCCCCCATCCCCACCAGAGAGAGAGAGGAGGGGAGAGAGAGGCCCTGGGCTCTCCGGGGATGGGCAAGGCCACTCTTTTAGGTGGATTACTCTCAGGCCTCATTTGCCAGGGAGGGGCCCTCTGTTTGGGGGGCTCTGTGAGCAGCCTGCTTTCCTCTGTGCCCCGCCCCCAGGCTCTGGCTCCAGTGTCATCAGGTAACTCCCACTTTGTGTCTTTCTTTGCTTTCACACATTTCTCCCGTTTCTGTGGGGCTCAGGGGGTGGGACCACAGGTGGTGCCCAGGTTCAGGACTCTGTGATGTGGCATGAAGGTGACCGGGACCCCATTTCTCACTTTCTCCATCAGGGTCTGGTGGTCCAGGGTGTGTGGTGGGGTTCAGCACTGGGGACCTTTCCAGGAGATTTCTGAGTGAAGAGGCTGCCAAGAGAATTTTGTGGGGTGTGGACAGGGCGCAGAGCCTGATTCTGGTGTGTGGGGAGGTCTGGGCTGAGGGACACTCCAGCCGGTGGGAGCAGGACAGGACAGGATACCATTGCCTGGGCCCCTGTGGGCAGCACGCAGAGCCGAGATGTTCTGAAGGGCTGTGGAGCACGATGCCTCCAGGTTATAGATAGGCCCAAGAGAGATGGAAACGTCTGTCCACACCAAAACCTGTACACAGAGGCTTGTCGTGGCTTTATTCATAGTGATCAAAAACTGGAAAAAACTCAGATGCCCTTCAGCTGGTGGATAGACAAACAGTGATCCATCTACATAGTGGAATACTACTCAGTGAGAAAAAGGAACAAATCACTAGCTCATGCAACCACCTGGCTGAATCCCAGGTGCAGAATGCTAAGTGCAAGGAGCGGACACAGAAAGCTGCATGCTGTGGATGCATTTCGATGGGGTTCTGAGAAAGGCAATCCTCTGGACAGAACACAGACGAGTTGTTGCCTGGGGCTGGGGGTGGAGGAGGGCTTGACTAGAGTGGCAGGAGGGAATTTTCTGGGTGGATGGAAATGTTTTATATCCTGATTATTGTATTGGTTACAGGGCTTTGTGAATTTGTCAAAACTCATAAAATTATACAGTAAAAAAGATGAATTTTATTGTATGTAAATTATACCTCAGTAAACCTGAAAAAACCCAAAGTAACGACAACAAAAAGTTTCAGTTAGATTCGTGTTCGTGGTAACTCTGTAACAGCAGGGAAATTGCAGGGTGGGTCAGAGGAGGAGCTGGGATCCAGGGGTGACCTCACACAAGGGGTGAATGGGAACATCCACGTTCCCTGGGTGAGGCCCTGCCTGCCTGCTAGGAACCTCCGAGGGTAAGAGCCAGAACTTCCAGTATATTCTATGGTAATGCCGTGGATGCCAGAATGGAGAAGACCACCAAATCACACCTACTTTCCCCTGGGGCCATCAACCTGTGGCCATTTCGCCCGACCAGCAGGGAAACAAGGAGAGGGCAAAGGGATGGAAGAGAACTGAGTCAGAGACTTGATTCAGAGCCAGATCTGTCACCAGCCAACTCAGCCTCTCAGAACCTCAGTTTCCTCATCTACAAAATGGGAACAGCAAGCAGCCTGTACCTTGCAGAGTCCAGTGAGGGACAGATGACTGTGAGCCAACCCCATGCCCAGCTGGTAAGGACTTCCTAACTCTCATGTGGCTGTCGGCTGGCCGGAGTGGCCACCAGCAGGCCAAGTTTGAATTCTTGTAGCGCTTCCTACAAGCTATGTGACCTTGGACAAGTGTCTTAACCTTTCTGGGCTGTGATTTTCTTATTGATAAAATGAGATTTTATGGTCCCATAAAATTGGTGCAAGGATTTAATGGATATAAAGGCCTTAGCCCTAGGCCTAGCACATAGCAAGCACTTGGAAAGAGCTATTCCATTATTATCATAGAGTTGCCAAAATAACAAATAAAAATACAAGATTCCTGGTTAATTTGGAATTGCAGTTAAATAATGAATATAATTTTAATATAAGTATGTCCCACATAATATTTGGGACATACTTATACTAGAAAAGTATTGGTGACATAATTGTACTAAAAACTATGTGTTGTCTTTCTGAAATTAAAATTTAACTGGGTAAATTTGTTTGGTATTTCACCTGGCAGCCTTATTAAGAGGGAAGCGGATTTGTGGTAACGTGGGAATGGGACTAAGCCTGCAGGTGAGTGGGGGCGTGAGTGACCTGCTGCTGTTTTACACCCTGCTGCAGCCCGAGTCATTCCAGTACCTGCAGTCTCTCCTCCTTCGGGAGGCTCCTTGGCTTAGCCCACACTGCCCATTCGGTCCTTGGTCCTGCTTTTGTTTGGGCCCATGGCTGCCAGCCCGTGTCATTGTAACTAGCTCCTGGGCTGGCGTGCCCTTTGGACATTCTGGAGTCATTTTTGTGTCCCTGAGTGGCCAGCCGCCAGGGCAGGGCTGTGCGCCTCCGGCCTTTCCTGGGGTCCAGCCTGGCGTGGATGCAGCGAGCACGGTAGGCTCTCGGTGCCTGCGACTGACGGCTGAGTGGCAGCACGGCTCTTACATAATCGCTTTCTCTCCTCCTTTCTCTTTCCAGAGCCAGATTTCACACTGAGCAGCTGCAGACGAGGAAATCAGAGACAGCACAACCCAGCCCCAGATTCCAAGGGGCCTGCTGGGGACTCTCTCCTCCTGCTCGGGCGGGAAGACCCCGAGGCCGCTGTCTCAGGCCAGGTCCTGGCTGCCATGGGACGCGCAGCAGCCGCCCGCTGGCTGCCCTCCGCACTGCTAGGCAGATAAGGGCGGGTGCTGCCCCAGGAGCACCTGCCGCCCCCTGCCGGACCCCTCCGTGGCCAGCCCTCCCTGACTTTGGGCCACCTCTGCTGACCCGAGGCCATGTAGGCCCCACTCGGGCCTCTGTGGATAGACACACCGCCGGGGACACCGCCTCTGCTCTCTGGGGGACCCAGCATACCACCATGCCCCGGGGATTCGCCTGGCTACGCTGTGAGTACTGGGGGGGTCCATGGAGACCGCCTTGAGGAGGCCTTGGCCGGGAGCCAGGCTCTGCCGTAACCATGGCAACTGGGTCATTCTTGCTGATGAGAAGTTGAGATGCTTCCCAGCTTAACCACAGGCACCCTCGGGGACTCCCACGGCTGCCCTCTGCCCTGTCTCCAGGTGACCCCAGGTCAGACGGGCATGGTGAGTGCAAATCTTAGGCTGGGTGGGCACAGTCTGTGGGTGGTCATGGGGACAGGGCAGGCACTGGGGGTAGGTGGCAGCATTTCATCTTCTTAGACTCATTGGCGCTGGGGAGTACAGTGGAGATGGAGGTGATTTCTGGCCTCTCTGGGTGTGGCCCACTGGGGGTGGGGATTGTGGAAGTCTGGGCCCCAAGACCCACGGGAGAAGTGCACCCACGTGCCTGGGGAAGGCAGCCTGCTCCCTCTGACCCTCCCTCCATAAAGAACAAAATTATAAGGCAGAAAGAGAACACTGTTGTTGGTAAAGAGAAAATAAGTTGAAATGAGGACAGAAAAAAAAGAATCTAGAAGCTTCTCAAGTCTGCTGGTGGGAGGCCAGACCAAGATCCCTCCAGACTCCAAGATGCAACTTAACTGACTCAAATTCAACATATTTTTCTGGTGCCTCCCACGTGCCCACTGGAGAGTTACTGCCATGGCGACAAGGACCTGGGCTGCCTTGTGCCTTTCTCCCAGTGCCTGGCACAGAGTTAGGAGGAGGTCCAGAGTTTGATCCTTTGAGGGACTCCAGAGGAGTTGAGTCCACCCTGGCCCTTGTGGAGGGACACTGCAAAGGGTCAGAACATTCAGAACAGCGAAAGGACTCAGGCCCGGTGTTCTGGAAGCTTCCAGGTCATGAGGAGCAGGAGAAGCAGCGTGGGTGAGGTACTGCTTGAAATGGTCTTGAAGGTGGGCGGTGTCCACACAGGTAGACATGGGGAGGTGAGGACAGTGTTCCAGGTAGAGGGAACAGCATGAGCAAGGGCTCAGCAGTGGGACAGTAAGAAGCCAGCCTGGAAGGCTGGTTTGGGCTCAGGTGGCTCAGGCCTTGGAAGCCAGGGTGAAAAGTTCCTAATTCGTGAGATAACAGGGAGCCCTGGAACGTTCGTGACCTGGGGTGGAGGTTTGGAGTTACTCTGCTTTCGGACGAGCAATCCTGCGGTGCTTGCAAGAGTCGCTGTCACACCTTCTGGGTGGGAAGTAATGAGGGCCAGTTCCAGAGACGGAAGTGAGGATGAGAAGGCATGGTGGAGGGGAGGGTGGATCGCAGGACTTGGCAAGGATTGGCTGTGGCGTGAGGGAGAGGGTGTGGATGCAGATCAGGGGCTTGCAGAGGGCCTGGGGTGCTGGAGAAGATTGGCTGCCGTAACACATTGCCACCAACTTGGCTTAAAACAGCAGAAATTTATTCTGTCGCAGCTCTGGAGGCCAGAAGTCTGAAATCAAGCGAGGCCACACTCCCTCTGTAGGCTCTAAGGGAGGATCCTTCCTGCCTTTTCCAGCTTCTGGTGGCTCCCAGTGCTCCTTGGCTTGTGGCAGTGTCACTCCAGTCTGCTCTCCCTCTGCGTGTCTCGGTGTCCTCACCTCTTCTTATAAGGACACCAGTCATTGGGTTTAGGGCCCACCCTAAATCCAGGATGATTCATCTGAGGATCCTTAACTTGATTGTATTTGCAAAGACCCTATCTCCAAATAAGATGGCGTCTGAGGTTCTGGGTGAACATGAATTATGAGGGGTTGCTTTTCAACCCCCTACACAGGCTCAGATTTGGTCGCTGGAGGTGGGGGTGGTAGCCCCGTTTGTGACTGTACAAAGGGCAGCTGCTCTTTCTTCAGCCTCCTCTTGTGCCTTGTGGGCCTCTTACTTCTGGAGGAAGCAGGGGCAAGACGGGCCTCCTGACCAGGGTCAGGGTTGCACTGGCTGCAGGGCTCCCAGGGTGCAGAGCAGCCGTGAGGCTACAGCGTGCTGTCCCTGCCTAGTCACCTGTTTGCTGGCCTTTTTCTCAGGGTGGAGGCAGCAGGAAAGAAGCTTAAAGTTGGAAACGGTAGTCGGGTTGCAGACTAGGAGGAAGTCTAAGTTTGGGAGAAGGCAGATCATCGATGGATAGGGTTTCCAGGGCAGCCCGTGTGTGCCAGGCTGGGAGGCACGGAGGCTCTGTAAGTTCCCTGTATGAGCCCACAGTTGCCAGGCCCTGAAGGCCCCTGGCCAGGACTCAGATAAGGGCGTGTGGGGTAGGACTTGGAGGGTGGAGTGGGCAGCCAGTGGGTGACTTCCACGTGGGAAAGAAGATTCAGTATGGACAGAGATACAGATTTTTACAACTGTCACTCTGGGTCAATGGTTCTCAAAGTGCAGTCCCCAGACCAGCAGCATCAGCTTTCCTTGGGAACTTGTTCAACATGCAGATTCTCTGGCCCCACCCCAGACCTGCTGAATCAGACACTGTGCGGTGGGCTGGCTCTCTGGGCCTTTACCAGCTCCCCAGGAGATTCAGACGCACGCTCCCATTTCCCTGCTCGAGGTGAACCCCCACAGCACTCAGTAAATAAGACTGTGCTGTGGTTAACAGCATTACGTATTCACACACTAAGGGCTAAGTTGTCTGGTCAAGATCATGAGTGAATTGGACAGATGATGCTAGAGACGGGGATTGGTGGGGGCTGGTGTGGGCAGGGGAGAGTCTGGGGAGGGAAGAAGTCTTGGGGAGACCTTGAAAGAGGTCTGCAGTGAGAGGATACCCAGGGCAGGGGCAGAGTAGGAGCAAAACACCTGATGCAGGAATGATCTTGACCTGCAGGGGTGCCAAGCTGAGAGGGTTAACAATTAGAGACAAGACAGAAAGTGCGCAGAAACACTGGTTCAGTCTGTGTTTATCTGTTCCTGTGTCCAAATACTGAGGAGAGCGCGTGGGAAGAGAGAGAGTGGAGGTGAAAGATGGGTTGCAGATTTGCAACCTTGCAAAAAACGTGGTTGTCAGACTTCGGCGAGAGGAAGGGCTGGTGAGCTGCAGCCCAGATCGGGCACAGCGCTTAGGCAGACCTGAGGGTGCTCCTGGTGAGGGGCCCAGCAGGAGCAGAGGCATGGCAGCAGGACTGAGAAGGAGGTGGGGAAGTGATGGGGAGCAGGCCCAGACCAGTGAGCATTTCAGAGCAAAAGTCTTCCTAAGTGCCAGAGGGGTGCGTGGGGAAAGTCCAGTCAGTAATTCCTACTCATGACCGGGGGTGGACCAAGGCGGTGACTCAGCCTGCCTGGCTATTTGGGGCGGGGGTGGGGGGGGGGCGGTGCGGGAAAGAAAAAGAAAGAAAAGAAAAGAAAATATTGCTTTTGACTATAACAATAATACCTGTAGATATTGATTGTAGAATATAAAATATGTCCTATGAAAATATAAAGAACATAAAAATCTCCCATAGCGATATGGTACACTTCTTTCCACATTTTCTACACACACATTTATATAATGAACAAAGTCCAAGTTATGCTGTATACCCAGATAAGGAGTGTTGAATCATGCTTTTTTAAACCTCACTAAGCATAAGTATTTTTCTTATCATGTGAACATATCATAAGCTTTTTTTGACAGCGTGATTTTTATTGCCTACATTCATTATTATTGAACATCTAGGCCATTTACGGATTTTCACTATTATAAAATAATGCTACAATGGAAGTCTTTGTCCACACATCTTTTGGTTATGTCTCTCTTTTTGGTTTTCCTTCAGATTTATTCCTAGAAATGAGTTTAATAGGTCAGAGGGTGTGGACATTTTTAAGTCCATTAATAACAAACATTGACAAATTGCTTTCCAGGATGAGAGCCCCTGCTTCACTACTTTGCCAGCACCAAGTGTTATTAAAATAAAATAAACAATTAAAAAAACCCACTTTCCATTTCGATAGGTGAAACACGGCCTCTGATTGTTTTAATGTGAATTTATTTTTATTAGTGAGGTCGATTTTTTGGATACATCTCTTGCCCATGTATATGTTATTCTTTCTGCTCTAATTGACTTAACCCTTGTTCATATTTGTTGCAAATTCCCTCAGATACTTTTTGTGAGTCTGTTCAGTTACGTGGATATCACGGGCTGTTTTTGAAGTCACAGCGACCCCTAGTGTGAAGGCTAGTAACGTGCGGAAGGCTGCAGCTAGTTTATTGGCATGGAAGAAAAACAGCCTGAGTGAGATTCGCTTAGCATCCCAGAATGAGCAAACTGGAAGGGCCGCTACAAACCGGCTGGTGCGTCTAACTGAGAGAGATGCCGAGGTCAGATAGAGCAGGGAAGAAAATTGGCTTTGGTCACCCAAGAGTCATTGGTAGAGTTGGAACTAGAATCCACATCTGAATCTCCCGATAGAAAATACATCAAGAGGCTTTGAAAATATGTCAGTGCTAGAAGAGGGACTAAGCTTGCCCTGGATGGGAGGTTGTGCCTGCCCCGTGGGGCAGGAGTGGGGAGGAGACTGGAGACCAACCCCAGGGTGTGGCTCCAGGGGGGCTCTGCTGGCCAGGGGTGAGGGTGGACGGGCTAGACGGCTCCTGCTTGCCTGGCTTTGCTGCCCTGGAGCCCAGACCCCAGGAAAAGCATTCTGGGTGGTGGGAAGGGCTCCTGGAGGTTCTGCGTCCCCTCCCCGTAGCCCCTCCCATGAGGACTTGTGACTGGGGGAAAGGGAGGACAGTTGTGCACAGCTTTGCACACCCGGGCAGTGTTGCTCATGTGTTCTGTTGGGTGTGGTCCGCAGATTTGGGGATCCTCCTTGGCATGGCATTGGGGAATGAGGGTTTGGAGGTGTGGCCCTTGACCCAGAGCGAGGAGTGCGCCATCACCGGCTTTCTGCGGGACAAGCTGCAGTACAGGAACCGCCTTCAATACATGGTAACCATGTGGGCACCTGCTGTGTCCCTCTTCCCAGGCCCCTTGGCTCACTGGGCGTAGGGATCTGGACATTCAGGGTCCCTCCTTGGACCTGTGTCAGCCCTGAGCCTACCATGGCCCCTTCCTTCACCACACACACCCACACGCCTGGTCTGCACTTACTGTCCCTCTCCCGCCATCTGTCCCTAGGGACCTCTACACCTTGATCTGACCTTTGATCCCACCTCCACGTGGCACACACTCTGTGACTAAGAAATGGACTCCAGGAAACTTTCGGGGAACCCCAGACCCTTATTAGCAGAGGAGATAAGGACCTAGAAATTAGAATGTTCGATTCTTTTTGTAGGATGGAGAAGCCCACTGACACATGGCTCTGTATGTCTTTTTTTAACGGCTTTATTGAGACACAATTCACATACCACACCATTCACCCATTTAAAATGTACAACTCAGTGGGTTTTAGTGTATTCGCAGAGTTGTGCAACCATCACTATAACTACTTTCAGAGTAATCTTTTAAAGTAATCTCCCTCACTCCCTGAAGAGTATGTTTCTGTTGGGGTGGTGTGTCTCTCACACTGCTTCTTGGCCTGAAACTTCTGCCTTAACAGCAACTACATGCTTTGTTTCAGCCTTCCCTGTGTCCCTGAGGAGAGAGAGCTGTCTTTACCCCCGTGGGGCGCCAAGTGTCTATTCTCCGTAGAGGGCCACTTCTGCCATCAAAGGGCTGGGCCTGGGTTTTCTCCTCCACATCAGATTCCTCTGGGAGGTTGGGGGCCTGTCTGAGCCATTTCTGACTATGACCTCGTGGTTTGTTCTTGTGCCTCCCCAGAAACACTACTTCCCCATCAACTACAGGGTCAGCGTGCCTTATGAGGGGGTGCTCAGAATGGCCAACATCACCAGGCTGGTGAGAATCCCCCCCGGGGCTGGGGAGACCCCTGCCTCCTGGGACATCCCCTGGGCCCAGCCTGAGAGGCACACTGGTCTTGACAGGTCCTGTTGCCAGGGGCCTTTCCTGGTCCCTCAAGCAAGCCCGCCCTTGGCCCAGGCCTGAGGTTGCCTGCCGGCCACAGTGGATGCCCATGGTCGGCTCCCTATGCAGGGCAAACCCTGGGGTGGGGGTGTCAGAGTGGGGGTGGGGAAGGCCCAGAGGCCCCAGTCTGGGGTTTCCAGTGATTTTCCTGTCCCTGCAGCGGAGGGCCCGGGTGAGCCAGCAGGAGCTGCGGTATCTGTGGGTCTGGGTAAGTCTCAGTGCTACCGAGTCGCTGCAGGAGGTGCTGCTCGAGGGCCACCCGTCCTGGAAGTACCTGGAGGAGGTACACACCTTGCTGCTGGATGTCCAGCAGAGCCTCAAGGTGAGCTGGGCAGGGTGTGGGCGGGTGGGCGGGGCACGTGTGTGTGTGTGTGTGTGTGTGAGGGAGGATGTAAACTCACGGAAAGTCCAGCATATCCTGAAGGGTGTGAGAGAAGTGGGGGAGAGGAAGAGATGGCCAGAGATGACTGGGAGGTGGGCTGGGGGCGCAGGGCAGGAGATGAGATTCTCTTCCAGGTTCTGTCACTCTTGCTGTGATCCTGGGCAAGTCACTGGTCCCTCTGGCTTTGTTTCCACATCTAAAAGAGAGGTTCCTGGCGGGGAGGGGGAGGGAGGAATAGATGGAGCACAAGGGCTTTTTCGGGTGATGCGGCTCTTCTGCGTGACCCTGTAATGGTGGATACATCACATCCTGCGTCTGTCAAAGCCCATAGAACAGACAACACAAAGGGAACTCTAATGTAAACTACTGACTTTAATAATAGAATAAAAGAGGTGCCTGATAACCGCCTGCTCAGCAGGGTTGATCTCAGGCCTCGGGGATACGTCCTCTAAAAAACCTGAAGAGTAAGGTGACAGGATCAGTGTGTGCCCACGCAGGCCATGTGTGAGCCATGGGACCCCTCCCCCGCACCCCCTCTCCCCCAGCCCAGCTCTGCCCTGGGGACCCCCACCTGCTGCCCAGCTCAGCTTCTGGGGCACGGCCCCTCCAGAACACCCAGCACCAGCTGTGAGCCAGCACCCAGGGATTTCCTTGGTGGCTCTTTTGTGCCTGTGGGCAGGGTGAGTTGGAGCTGACCTGGGGAAGACACAGTTCTCCATCCTCGTTTTTCCTCAAGAGGGTCTCTGGCTCTGAGAGCTCTCAGTGGCTCATTTGGGGGCTGGGAAGGAGATTGCCAGGTAGGCTGAGGCCCTGCCCACTGGGGTTGTTCAGATTTAACCAGCTTTTAAATCTTGCTTCCCTCTAACAATGTTAGTAGCCCATAGCCCGCTCCAAATATGCCCAGCATCCGTTGGGCAGTGGGGTCTCCCCTGGAGGGAGTGGGCCGTGGGGGTGGGCGCCTTTCCCTCCCGCTATCCTCACTCCTCTCTCCAAGCTGCTGTGACAAATTACCACTAACTGGTGGCTTAAAACAATGGACATTATTCTGTGACAGTTCTTGAGACTGGATGTTTGAAATTAGGGTGTCGGTAGGGCCACGCTCCCGCCGAAGGCTCTAGGGAGGATCCTTCCCACCTCTTGCAGCTTCTGGTGGCTGCTAGTGTTCTTGGCTTATGGCAGCATCGCTCCAACTCCTGCCTCCATCTTCACGTGGTCTTTCCCTCTGTGTCTCGTGTCCTTTCTCTTATAAGGACACCAGTCATTGGATTTAGCGCCCACCCTAAATCTAGGATGATGTCATCCTGAGATCCTTAATTACATCTGCAAAGACCCGATTTCCAAATAGGGTCACATTCACAGGTACCAGGGGTTAGGACTTGGACACAGGTTTTTGGGGGGAAGAGGGGACACACAATTCAACACAGCACACTTTACCCCCAGCTTGGGCCCCATTTCCTTCTACGAGATGCCTTCTACCACGGCTCTGCCCCCTGCTCAGAGACTTCTCTCCACGATGTCCGTGGGGCTCCCCACACCGTGTGTGCTCCTTTTGTTAAGTATGGTGGAGAGAAGCCCCTGACCTGGGAACTGGAGACCCGGCCCTGCCCGTGAGTCTTGGCCTTGCTGTCCTCACCATACGACCCTCATGAGGGTCCTTTCTCTTCTTCCTTGGAGTCAGTGGGGGTCTTTGCATCCTGAAGGACAGTGTTCTTGGGGCCAGGAACTCCGCACACCCTGACCTCCTCCCTGTCCCGCCTGCCCCCTGCAGTCATTTTACCGATGATGGAGAAAGAGAAGCGTCTGTGTTGTGGTTGGGTGAGGGGCATCGAGGGGGACCCCCCTCAGGAAACTTGGCACTTGCAGGAAGAAGGAGGAGAGAAATTGCCCAGGCCTCCTGGTCACAGAAGTCTTGTCTTTCTTCCGTGGTCTGTGCCCCTCCAGGGGGCACAGCTCTCCTGGGACGTGGCCGTCTCTTCGCTCACCCTTGGTGCTAACAGTTTCCTCCTTCCAGGATGTGGAGGTCAGCCCCAAGGTGGAAGCGCTGCTGTCACTCCTGAGTGCCCCGGGGCTGAGCCTGAAGCTGGTGCGGCCCAAAGCCCTGCTGGACAACTGCTTCCGGGTCATGGAGCTGCTCTACTGCCCTTGCTGTAAGGAGCTCGGGTGGATGGGGCTGGGGCAGGACACCAGGAGTCTGGGCCCGGGTCACTGGGCAGAGCTGGGGCTCCCCCCGGGCAGGCCCTCTGCTCCCCAGGGATACAGGCCATTTCTGGAAGTCGAGATGGGCCCTGGGTATGGGGACAAGAGCAGTGTGGCTTGGTCTGGGGACGAGGGGGTGTTGATCAGTCCTGCAGTCTTTTTTTCCTGTCCCCTGCAGGTAAACATAGCTCCGTCCTGAACTGGCAGGACTGTGCGGTGCCAAGCCCTCAGCCCCACAGCCAGGAGTCCCCGTCGTCACAGTGTGCGGCTGCCCAGCTGTACCCTCCACCCCAGCAGCCCCCCACCTCCCTGCCCCGCTCCCCGGGACCCAAGGCTGGACCCCCAACTCAGTGACACTGCCGGGGACACGGAGCGAGGCCTCCTGTCCTGCGTGGCCTATATGGTGACCTGGGTGGGGAGGCTGGAGGGGCCCCATGGGAGTTCAGCTGGGCCTGAGACTTTGCTGGGTGGTGGTGGGGAGCCCCCTCCCACCCCCTGCCTTGGAGAGGAAGCCCTGGAAGGAGGTGTTTCCTTTGGGGAGTCTGTGCCTGAGAAGGGCTCAGCTTCCTGCCTTCCGTGCCTCACATGGTCTCCCCTGGAGTTGCGGGGACCTGGGGGCACAGAGCTCTCGCCCCTCCTGGCACCGCCCGGGCTGCATCCCTCGCCTGAAGGCAGCACTGAAGGTCCCCAAGCCTGCGGAGGCGAGAGCTGGGCCTGGTGGGCGTGGGGCAGACGCAGCTCCGTGAGGCCGGGGGGTGGGGCAGAGCCGAGCGCCACATCTTGCCACAGTGGATGCCCTTCCAGTTCCTTCGATTTTTTCTATTAAACGCCTGCTTTGTTTGGTTTGGTTTGGTTTGGTTTGCATCTGCGAGGGTGACTGAACCCGGAGAGGGCCTGGAACCCTCCACCGCCTCCCCCTCCAGCTCCAGCTGGCCAAGTGCAGGAGGTCGGGGCGGGCTGGTGCGGCCCTGGGGCCTCGGTCTGAGGGTTCGGATTTGGGATGGACGGAGCCTTAGCCAGGGGGCCTGGAGTGGAGGGTATTTGAGGGATTGAGTTCTTCTGGCCCTGCCCTAGTGCACTGGCCTCAGCAAGCCTTATCCTGGGCAGTGCCTCCTGGGCCCCCTCCCTCCCTCCGGCCGCCCCAGGACAGCCCCCAGTGGGGACAGAGCTGAGGTATTCAAAGCTTAGGTCCCGGCACAAGACCTGGCCACTCCCACCCACGCCACACAGCGCCCTGAGCTCCTTGGCCGGGATCTGGGATGGGACAGGGCCGGGGTGCAGGCAGGGGTGCGGCGGGGGCAGGTGAGCAGCAGCGGAGGAAGGCAGGCGGAGGCAGGGGCGTTCATTACAGTACAACTTTATTAATACTGGAATCTTCACAGTGCATGTGTTACGTGAGCAGTGACTATTTAAATCAAGGGAGGAGGGGTGGAGGGGGCGGGCAAGAGAGGATAATTTAGCCAAAAACTGACAGAAAGAAAAGAAACAAAATGGTCCAGATGGGATGGGAGGTGGGGGGAAGAAGGGTGAGTAGGAACCAGGAGGGAAGGCCTGGGGTGGGGAAATAAATTAAAAAAAGGAACAAGTTAACAACAGCACCAGAAAAGTTACTTCAGTCAAAAGACGCTTTTGAAAAGAATATTTCTCTGTACAAAATGAAAAATAAAACGAACGTAAAGAAGTCCCCCCAAACCAAAGTTTGTGATGCGGGATGGTTGGCTCGGATCCCGAGGGGGTGGGCCTACGAGGTGGTCACTAAATGGACAAAGGTGATCAAGGGGATGGAGGAGTTATGTACAGCCCTGGGGTGGCTTGGAGGGGAGGGGGGATGGCGGAGCATGGGGGGGGCAGGGTGCTGCCCCCCACCCCCCCCGGAGGCAAGCTCTTCCTCACAGGGACTCGAGGACCCGGCCACACCCCCACCCACTGCCCCTTACCCTGCTCACATCACACAACCTGCATCTTACATCAGCCCACCTGGGCAAACCCTGACAGCCCTGGGGGGAATGGGCTGTGTAAACCCTGCCCCAGGGCTTCCCAAACTGGCCACCTGCTCTCCCAGCCCCTTCAGACCCTCCCTTGCTCAAGCCCCCTCCAGGGCCCCAAAGCTGGGCTCTGGGGTGGGTCTGAGCACTCAGCAAGGCTCTTCTCAGACCTAGCAACTTACAGGTACCGTTTTCCATTGCCCTCAGGGAGCCCGGGCGCTCCATCTGCTCAGGGCACCCTTGGTTGCCCAGACCTACCTGCTGTGCTGCCTGGATCCTAGTTCCTGCCACAAGAACTACCAGGCTGGTGCTGGGAGACTCAGACCCAACCCCGTCCCATCCAGACCAGGAAAAGCCTGCTCTCCTGACCCCTGTGGGACCACAGGAAGCCCTGTGCTCGCCCTGGGTGCACCTGCTTAGAGTCAGCAAGATGTGGTGCATGGAGGGGGAGGTCACCCCACCCCGCCCCGCCCCTAGCACAGGACTGGGACTGTGGGGGGACCGTCCTGGGATGGCATCTCCTCTGGCAACAGAGAGTCAAAGCCAATCTCCCTGGACTCGTCCCCCAGCTGGCAGCCCTCGCTCAGACCGCAGACGGGCTGCAGGCCCTGCCCCTGGCCCTCTCCAACCTTAATTTGGCGATGCTCCAGAGGCTAGAGAGAACAGCTGCCCCCTGGCTTTGGGGGAGTCCTCCTCCTCCTGCCATGGGCCCACCAGGCCACTGCGGGGCTCCCTGTCCCTCAGGCACTCTCGGACACACCCTGTATTGTCCACCCTGTCCCCACACACAGTCCTTGTCCAGTCAGCTCCATTTTATTATTATATTCATAATATAACCCCCCACACCCACTACAGCTCCAGCCCCCAACTGAAAGGTGACTGAAACTGACCAAAGTGCCACCAGAGGTAAGTCCTGACATGCCCAGATGAGGACCAGACATCTGAAAACAGCTCTCGGACCTCTGGACTCCTGCCCTGCTGCTCTGCCCTGCCCCTAACCTGGCCCCACCTCAGGGGGAAGGGAGGCTGCCTCGGGGTCCCCGCCGCCTCCACGCAGGCCCCTATCCCCTGTGGCAGCCAGCTGCCCAACTCCACCTGCCCTCCCACCCGCCAGCCGCTCTGCAGAGCTTTGCGGTCAAAGCTGACGTGTAGGCCAATTGGACACCCGGCCCTCCACGGCCACCCTGCCCCCCCGGAGAGGCACCTGGGAGAGGAGAGAAGGGGAAGGAGAGGAGGCTCAGTCAGGGGCGGAGGGCGCCTGAGGCATGCCAGCCCAACCCGGGGAGAGGCGGCCAGGCTAGCTAAGCTGTGCCACTGCGGCCGGGGTGGCGCGAGGCTGGCCGGCCCCTTGTCGTGGGCCTGGAGTGCAACCCCAGGGCTGAGATGTGACAGAGGCAGGGCCAGCAGGAGGAAGCAGGGGACAGAGGAGGTCAGGGGAGTATAAAACAGGCTCCAGACCAAGTTCAGGCCCCCAGGCTCCGCCTGGCGAGGGCGAGACAGGAGTCACTTCCTGTTTAAACGCTGAAATCCAAGCCGGGTGTCTCTTTCCATAAAGTGGCTTTGCCTTATGTTACTTTGAAAAAACACAAGCCTGCCTGGCCCTGCTCTCTCCTGGCTGTGCCTTTTCTCTGAGTGGCCGCTGCCCACCGGCCAGGCAGGAGGTCAGAGGGTGGGAGGGTGGCACCATCACAAGATGCGGGGCGCCGACCTGTCGTTGGTGACGGTCCTGCGGAGCCGCACCCCGCGCCTGATGGCCACCAGCATGTCTTCGGCCGGGGGGTCGCTGGTGGCGGCCGGGGGCGGGGTGGGCGTCTCCTCTGCAGGGGTGGCTGACAGGGCCGTGGGGAAGGGGAACTGGCCCTCGCCCAGAGCGTGGGCACCAGCCACCAGCTCCCCAAGCTTCTCCACCAGGCTGTGCCGGTTGGCGGCCAGCTGCTGCTGCTGCTCATCGTCGTCCTCGGCCCCCAGCCCGGGGTAGCTGGCGGCCTCCGGGGACGCGCTGCCCCAGGCCGTGTTGGGCAGGCTGAGCCTCTTTGGGGAGGCCTTGGCCAGGTCTGGCGCCAGGGGCGAGGCGGCCTCGTCGGTGTAGAAGACGCACTCCTCGCTGCCCGCCCGCGTGGGCCCCGCGTAGCTGGGGGAGTCCGGCACCGTGGGCGTCTTCACGGGGACGATGGGCGGCCGGATGGGGATGGGGCCGGCGCTGGAGAGGGCGCGGCGCACGGTGGGCTTAGTGGAAGGCGTGCGGCGGATGGTGGCCACGCCAGGGGGCGCGCCTGAGGTGGTGGGCAGCCCCGCGGTGGGCAGCCCGGCGGTGGAGGCCGGGCGCTTGGTCTGGATCAGGCGGCGGTAGTTCTGGGCGATGTTGCTGTTGCGAGGGATGGTGGATGACTTGTCGAACTCAGGCGGGCCCTCGCCGTCCGCATCCCCGTTCACCGAGTAGCAGTCATAGTCAGAGCCTGGCGGGCACAGGAAGCAGTGGGCCTGGGGCCTGGGGGCTGTGAAGGCCCGGTAACCCACCCCCGGCCCCAGGTGCCTACCTTGGGAGGGGATGGTGTCCTCGGAGCATGAGGGCGTAGTGGTCTGTGTGCTGTAGCCGCTCGAGTACTGCAGCGAGTCCCGGCTGCTCTTCTGGTGCTCCAGGCTCAGGCCGCGGGTCAGCACCATGGCCAGGTCACTGGCCGCAGGGGACACCTCCTCACCGTGCTGCGGGTGGTAAGACTGCAGGCTGAAGCCTTGCTCCCCGCTTCCCCTCTCAGCCCAGACTCCAGGCAGCCCCAGCAAGTGGTCGGAGCTGGTCCTGAGACCACTTGCCGGGCTCCTGGGAGTGAAGGCAGAGCCCTGGCTGGGATGCCCTGGGAGCTGGTGCCTACCTTGGCTGCGATAGTGGCAGGGGACATGCGGGGTCGCGGGGCCTCCTCTCCACTGGGGCCCAGGGCACCTCCGCTGGCCGGGCCTGGCTCTGTGTCTCGGAGGAGCTCCGCTCGGTCCTTCCTCCTCTGCAGGGTGGTGCCTGAGGGCTGCTCGTGGGGGCCGGCCTTGGACCAGTCCTGCAGGCCATGGCAGGCAGGTCAGGAGGATCCTTGGTCCTGCTGCCCATGGCCAAAGGGGCCCCTCACTATAGTTGAGGTTCAGGGTTTGCAGGCTCATGTGGGCCTCAGGCTCATAATCATGGCCAAGGGCAGAGCATGGAGGTGCTGTGACCCCTCAGTCCCCCCAAGCCCAGGGGCAAGAAGGGGGACCCCAGGAGGGAGTGGGTGGGGAGTGGCTGCAGGTGGCGCCCAGGTGCCTTTTCTTGTGGGGAACAGGCGCCGCGTGCACACACCCCTCTGGTCGGACCTGGGCCCTCCCTGCGTCCTGCTGCGGATGGGGAGCACTGACCGAGGTCGGGGAGCTGCATTCGCTAACCGACTGGCAGGTTTCTGAGGCCTCGGAGGACGCAGAGCTGGATGACTTCTGCCATGCAGAGGCCAGCAGGCGGGCGGACAGGGCGGGGAGGCAGGGAGGAGAGAACAGATGTGGTCACAGCGCTGGCATGCAGTGGGGTGTTCCGATTCAGGGCCACGGCCATGAGCATCTGCGAGCATCTGCAGCAGAATGCAGCGCCCAGAGCGCACGCCACGGGCACTGACC